CTGAACGCCTGTAGCTCCGAATCCTCTTTTTCGTCTTGATCATACGCCTCTGGATGGGTGGTCTGTAACATGAAGTACTGTATAAAATCCACGCGCTGGGAAGTTGACTATTGAACGAGTTTCGCCGGTGGACGTTGGAAAGACGACTCTACAAGACTTCCATTTTGTTGGTCCAACATACCTGAAGGCGCTCATGTCTAAAAACAGGTTTTGCTCTCTTAGATTTTTTTTCGCATATAAATGGTCGGCTTTCTTGCACTAAAAATACCTTCGGTTCTCATTAGGGCTGTCACGATAGATCGATGCATCGATACCACTATCGATTGTTGAAGGTATCGATAGTTTTTTCGACCATCGCGATGCAGCGGATTTTAAAGGGGAAATGCCCCATTGGACGGACGCGAGTACGGTACGATACATTCCATCTGTGTGGGGAAATAAAGAGGCGGCGTGACCCGTATGGACTTGCAATTTCTTATCACGATCAAATTCTGGAAATGCTGGACTGACTATATGAAAGACGGGAAAGAAAAAAGTTGGATCGGTTCTTAATTTTCTACATAAACAACAGTTTCGTGCGATGCATTGCAATTGCATTAAACAATAGCAAACAGCCCTTCCTCGAAGCGTAAAAGGTGAAAGTTTCCCTTGACTTGTCAAGAAGTTACTGAATAGGAATTGGACGGACGCGAGTACGGTACGATACATTCCATCTGTGTGGGGAAATAAAGAGGCGGCGTGACCCGTATGGACTTGCAATTTCTTATCACGATCAAATTCTGGAAATGCTGGACTGACTATATGAAAGACGGGAAGGAAAAAAGTTGGATCGGAGACAGGAAGTGGGAAAAGAGAGGGAGGGAAGACCGAGAATATTTTTCTCTCCTCTGTTTCAGTCTTCGGCTCGATCTCATGAGGTGCATGCTGCGAAAGTGGACTGTTTTTATATTCCCTTGATTTCGAAACGTACATTGGTGGTATTTTCCCCTCTCTTATGTGTTTCGGCAACCGCCGATATGGCACCATCGGCAGGTTTGCTATTTAGCGGTGCCGATGTCCAAAGAAGACCGTGTAGAACGAAGAAAAAGAAAAAAAATTACATGAACGGGCTTGGCAATTGATTCTCAATGGCAATAATAAAAAATGATGGCTGTCCTGAGGCATCCATTGATGAATGGATAACATCCTCGATATTTGGAGGCATGGTAGGTTTCATTACTCGTTGCGAAGGTCACACCTTCCTCCCACACGGGGGGTGTGGGAGGAAGCGTGATCACAAGCGTGAGATTATGGAAGACCTAAAAGTTCGCGTTCTGATCGAGGCGAGAAAAGTTTGAATCCTCCGGCGCACCACCCCCCTCCATCCTTGCATCGATACACTATCGATAGTTTAGGTCGATGCATCGATGTTTTGAAAACTGCTATCGTGACAGCCCTACATAAAATCTAAGTCAAATTATGTTAACTTGCAAACAATAAAATTTGAGTGTCATGAGATAGTTACTGCGAGATTTGCACACGCGTTCCCCAAGAAAAGTCTCGATAATGTCCCCTCAGACAGCATTTAAGTGCATAGGAGCTGCCTCCAAAAGATGGCAAGGATTCTGAAGGATAGGCTTCAATAGCATTTCGCAAATTATCTTTTAGTGAAGCAATTGTCCTCGGTTTATCTGCATAAACGAGCCCTTTTGTATATCCTAGAGGAAATAATCTAGTGGCGACAAGTCTGGGAGCTTCTACGGCCAAGTGATATCACCCAAACAAAAAATTATGTATCCAGAAGAAAAAATGGTACGATTTGGTAATTTTGTAAAACTGTACCTTTAACCCTTTCCCGGGCTGCACAACATGTGTCATCGTGCTGAAACCGTGTGTTTCCCATTCAAAGTCACTGATGCTGCAAATGCCGGTGAGTGCAGCCTGGGATGAACATTTCAAGAACATCAATCTTCTTTGGCAACCTGCTGCGCAAATCTCTGCGACACGCAATTGTTGCTGCATGCTTCCTGTATTCTACAGTAAATTTCATCTTTTGCTTCCAAAAAACAAATAATTTCATGCATTAGTTGCTGGGTGTAATCTGTAACAATACTTGCAATCTTGGTGAAATATATGGTGAATTCCACTAATAGCGAGAAATTGCGCATAAAATACGATCTATCAACTTAAGAAACCGACTATTGAGTCTGTCATGTTGGTATAACCAATATTTAAAACTTATGAAGTTGGTAGCACCCTATCGTAGCGCGTGCGCGCGACAGTACAGTTCAAACATGGCGTTCGAGGTGAAAGGTTCGTCCGCTGAAGCATGGTGTGCTGTACTGCAGTTTCTTTGTGCATAGGGTTTAAAACCATGTGAATATTACAGACAAATGCCAGCAGTGTACACAAACAATTGCATGTCTCAAGCGCGGGAGTATGAATGGTGTAAAAGGTTCTGTTCTGATCGAGAGAGCCTTCAAGATGACAATCAGTCAGAAGCACCGCACACTGCCGTGACTGAATGCAATATCGCGCGAGTGGATGACAAAAGACTTTTACGACAGAGGCATAAAAAAATCTCGTGAAAAAGTGCGTAAATAATGCAGAGATCATTTTGAAAAAATAAAGAAAAATCGTGGTTAAAAAAATAACCGTTACTTATTGAATCCCCCTCATATTTCCAGAAACCAATGAATCTGACAAGCCTGACCAAAAACCACCAAAACCAAGTTCGGACACTAACGTTTATCGTTAATAAATACGCATTTGCGAGATTGAAATCAAAGAGAGTTCTTCTTAACCCAAGATGACCATGTTGCTAGCCGAAAGACCTGCTATGGCCACGATCGTTGAGCACGATTTCGAAATATCGTGCAGAAATGAATGTCATGTCGCGGACAGGAAAAATTCAAGAAAACTTACGGTGACGACCTGACTTGAGAAACGCTTCCCACGTGATATTGTCAATTCTGTGATCAGTTCTTATTTCACAGGAAACTAGGGAACGTGCCATACTACGGATCTGCAATTGCATTTACAACTTGCCAGCCAAAGAGACTGCAGGTTTCATTTGAACTCTCTGCATATAATCATTCAGAATGTCATCATCTACATCAAGGATGGACAAACTTTTTATCCGACAGGCCTCACGAGAAAGCATATAAGCCTTCGTGAGCCACAGAAGCCAGAATAGGTGTAAGTATAAAGACACCAACATCTCAGTGGGACATGCAGCTGCCAGCAGTTTTTTTTTTTAACCCTTTCGTGCATGAATTATGATAACATATGAATTCAGGTTTGTTGATTTTTTTGTCGGCTCTGTTTGATGAATTAAACACCCTTTTGTTGGTGAACATAATTTAAATTTTTTTTCCCCGAAATTATAGAACCAAAAACAATACCGTCCACTATTGTGGACACCATGCACTTGCGCTTTTGATGACATACAGAGCTTTCGGAAAGCTCAATTACAGGCCCGTAAGTTTTCGGCAGTTTCACGTGCTAACTCATTTACAAGACTTGCAAATGAGTAGTAGAATTTCCATACATAGTTTGGAAACTTTCCATGCAAATAAATCTATTAGTACGCGTTTGTATTTTGTTTCATCTTTGCATGGCACGTCGTGGCATGCATGACCTCCTCGGGAGCTCTAGCTACGGCCCTGCACTTCAGTTTGGGAAATAACCTTGATTTTGTCCCAAGTCGAGACGCATGCCAATGTGCCAAGCCCATTCTCCTCATGTCTTTCTCTGAAGGGAAAACTTGACTGCAGTGGATTGGCAAGGATGGTGCCGGTTGCGAGCTCTTCTAGCCGTGGTAGGGAAGTAACTTAGTTATTGAAAAATAACCTTCTTGGAAGAATAGGTTATTGTCATCATTGTGGTGCAGGACCACGTCAACCCATATCCCAAAATCTGATATAGGGTCACGCCCTCCGAGACCGCCTTGGCACAACTCAAATCTGGACAGGTAACCTGAGCTACACGCCTAGACCTACTTTTGTTGAGGATTATGGCCATCGTCCAAACCCAAAATTTCATCGCGTGTGTCTACATCACTCTGGTCTGACTCTGAGGTCATCATTCTTTGCCGATGCCGTCAACTCTCTCCCTGTTCAGAGTCGTGAGGAAAATCGTCTAGAGCTTCAATTGTTTTCCTAAGTAACGAATAGAGAGGGCTGGGAAATTGCATATCATAGTACCTTAGAAGTGTCAAATGCATAATAATATATATCAATGTTAATATATTCACATTTACATTCGCAATAATGTGTTGGAAATATGCGATTAATTGAAAAATCGCTTCATTTAACATTTCTTAGCTGAAAAATAATTCATTAACACCTTCAAATCACCCAAACAATTATTATTGAATTTTTTTTTTATGAACTGCCAGTCTTTCCCTTCCATGGTGGGAGTAATGTGTCACATATTCTTCTTTACACTAGCTAATTCCCACAACAGGTATTAAATATCAGTAGCATCCAGTGGACATCTGTGCACTGAAGTTGAATGCATGCACTAGAGTCATTAAAATGAAGCCACCTCTGGGCCCATATGTAGTTAACATCGCGTCCACTACAGTGGACTCTACTCCTGATTTACATACTCAAGATTGTACAGGATGGGCCATAAGTCCCTATACCCCAATAATTGTTCTTTTTTGTGGGTCCCTGACATCTCCAGCACCACTGAAATGGTCAGCAAGAAGCCCTGACCTCAGCACATGTGATAATTCATTGTGGGGATACGTCAAGGAAATTGTGTCCAAGAGGTGCTACCAGACAACAAATGAACTGATGGATGTGGTCCATGAAGCTTTCAGAACAATCACCCCTGCAATGCTAAGAAAAATGTTCCATAGAACCTGGAGATGCATTATCTTGTCAGGACAATGTTGGTGCACATACAGATGCTTTGGAAGCTTAATGAAGTCAGGGATATAGGGACTTATGACCCACACTGTCAAGTTCAGGGGAACATGGCATGATTCAGTCTTTAGGAGGATGAAGATGACATGTTACCCAGCAGATTTCTTTATTATTCCTAATGTTTTGCATCATCACACAGAAAACCTTGTTTAAATTCACCTTCGCCAACAGAGCTAAAAACAAATAAACCACAACAAACAAATAAGATGAGCACAAGAATATGCTACCATTAATGAATAGCTGAAGTCCTTCCTAGATGAATGATAGTTCTTGTCAACAGTGGTCATTGGAAGCAATCTCATGTTGTGTGTTCCACAGATCAGCATAAATGCCATTGGGAATCTTGAGGAGTTCACCGTGTGTCCCACTCTCTGCCAATTTACCCTCATCTAGCACATAGATCATGTCAGCATCCACCACTGTAGACAGACGATGTGCTATCACAAGGGCTGTCCTGCCCTTGGTTGCACGACGGAGTGCTTCCATGATTTTCTAAACAGAAACAAGTTTCCACACCATATCCTCATTTTAATGTCAATTAATGCTTGTCAATGGACAAGAGAAAATTATTTGATTTAAGCAAAAGCAACTTAGATAATAATCCTGCTTGAAGCTAGCATCTGCAGGACTGGCAATGTTCACTAAATTTTCAAGACTTTTGCATGACAAAAGTAATTCAACTCAATTTAAATTTAGTACTTGGTCAACTAAAAATTAATTCAATTCAGTACTTGGTACAGAAAGCGCATTCTTCTTTTTTTAAAAGGAATGTTCCTCATTATCTCTAAGAGAGAGCCTAGTTAATGTACACAGTATGATTTGAGGAAAAAGCAGACCTTCTCAGTGATGGAATCTAAGGAGGAGGTGGCTTCATCAAAGATAAGGATGGGAGAATCCTTGAGAATAGCCCTAGCTATGGCTACCCGCTGTTTCTCCCCACCTGACAGCTTCAGCCCTCGCTCTCCTACCTGCACCACCCACACCACTCATCATCAGAACAAATGATAGATTATTGCCTAGCCACACATATGATATGATACCTGAGTGTCATATTGCTTGGGCCAAGTGACAATGTAATCATGAAGTTCAGCCATGCGGGATGCACGTATAACCTCTTCCTCTGGCTTGCTCAAGTCCCCATAAGACAGATTATGGTAGATGGTGTTGTGGAATAACACGGCATCCTATCATATAAACATGCAAAAGTGGATATGCATATTCCCACTGTCAACTTGCATAGATGGATGAATTTTGAAAGAGGACCTGGGGCACGATGGCAATGGCATTTCGGATGCTCTGTTCATTCCTGTCCTTAATGTTCTGACCATTGATCAATATATCACCACTTGTGGGGTCGTAGAATCTGAACAGAAGCCTCACCAGCGTTGACTTCCTATTGAAGTTGAATATGAGATTTAAAAAAGAAAACTTCATAATTGAGATATGTTCAACAAGTAATGTGAACAACAAAGGAAAGACTGACCCACTTCCAGACCCACCTACAAGGGCAATCTTCTGTCCAGCAGGAATTTTGAATGATAGACCATTGATGAGGGGCTTGGCTGAGTCATATGAAAAGTGGACATTCCTGAATTCCACTGTTGCTGTCTCTGGATTCACTGCCAGGTCAGGCAGATTCTTAGATGTCTGTAAGTCCGGGATCATGTTCACAATGTATTTTAGAACTTATACAATGTAATTCTACAATACCTTTTTGTTCAAATGACTACCATTATGGTACAGTGACAAAAATTGAGAGGATGCTTGTATTAGCGAGTTAGTGTTTTCCACCTGTCTCACAACCAGTCTTCAAGTCAGGGTTATGTTGTTATGTAAGATTTTGCTGAAGTAAAAAAAAAAAAAAAAAAAAAAAAAAAAAAAGGAGGGAAATCAGCTTTTAGATCCATATCACTGATGTATAGAAAACTATAACAGTTCTTTCATTATGACTCTTGGATGCATTGGGAAAAGTTATAAAAAATGTTGAAGCAAGAACTGAGAACTGACCTCAAACCTTGTCTGGACATTCAGGAGGGCAAAAACAGTTTGCATGTCAATGAGGGCCTGTCGCACCTCCCGGTAGACAGACCCCAGGAATCCTAGGGGGAGGGAGAGCTGAAACAACAGCCCATTCACCATCACCAGGTCACCCACAGTCATTGTTCCTGTGAGTGAATTCACAGAATGTCACTTAAGACTCCCCTGTCACCTTACATCAATCACAAAGCCATTGATGTCACTGATGGGGTCAAACTCTTCTTGTATCTAAGCTATCCAGTACAGGTCACATAAAAAGAAGTGATTATCCATCCAAACATCACATACACTTAATGGAGAATTACATTTTTGTGCATCATCTCACTGTTGTGCATGCTACTGCTATCTGGTGCATTTTATGTGCTTGTGTGAAAAAGCTGTTCTTTTTTAAGTAATGTGTGTAAATTGTTTTTAAATATCCAGGACAATCACTGCTTTCTACATGACCCATAAGCTAAGTGTTAATGCACCCCATATTTAGTAACACACCAAACCTCATGACTTTCAACTGCTGAAAACCTTGTGCACCCCATTTGAAAGAAAATGTATGCCTTTGCTCCTTTGTCTCATGCCTATTTCAAGTTTTGATACTGCAGTATTTCCAATGCATTTCTTCCCTACCCTGAGGGATAAATATAAAATGATAGAGATGGGAGTGATCATAGACCTATAATATGTATATTCAGCACTTATACATAAAGGTCCATCGAAAAGGTGAGGGAAAAATATTTCCAAGATCCTCAGCCAAGAAGGCCTTCAAAGGGAAAACTGGGCCTGAGAAATACTTTTCCAGATAACATCCCCCAATGATGTGTGCCATTTTCTATCTTAAATATTTCAAGAAAGAAGGTGGAGACAGGAGGAGGGCAAACTTTGTTTCTCTTTGGATAGGGAGAGAGTAACATATACTTGTTTGGAGTCCCTCTATCTCTCATGTAAGAAACAGGAAGTCCTAGTCATTCCTACAAGGTCCCACACACTACATTTCCTTTCTGAGAAATGTATATGCATGGCAGCACTTTTACCAGATCCCTTTCCAATTCCTTCTTGTTATTGAAAACCCAACCAGACAAACATTTTTCTCCTGTTAAAATAAGAAAACTCAATTCAGTGTACTCCAATAAAGCTTTCGTGATTCTGTATTTTATGGGGAATGGCATAGACTTCTTTCTGTCATATTGATGAAGATTAATATTGAAGAAAAACAAAACAAGAATGTGTTCTCTAATTGTAAGAAGAATGTCTCCATATAGAAAACCTTTCAAAACAACAAAAAACTGAACATGACTTATTTAATAAGAGAAAGCAAAGAAAGCAGCAGGGAGCAAAATTAATAGATGAAGTTAGTAATGCCACACATTTCTACAGGGTGATATAGATTCCCCTTTTGCTTTGATTCCTTGAAAAGAAAGCAAATAAAAAACTAAATCCTCTTTCCCCAGGTGAAAATTTTTTATTAAAAATTTCTCAAATATAGGAACCATTTATTAAGGTAATCAGCCCCTTTTAGCAAAGCTAAAAGTCAATTGACAGCCCCATAACTAAAATTGATCGGTATTCATTTTCTTAAACCCACATAGCACAATAATTCCTTTCAATCCTCTGATTTCTAAGTCAAACGATGGGATGGAGGGTAGGATGATTATTTTATACCAGCCATGATAGCCTTTGCAGCTAAGACCATGATAGCTGAGAGTGAGACACTGAAGATGGCATTCTGGCCAAAATTGAGGAGTGCAAGACTGGTGCTTGTCTTCAGGGAGGCATCCTCATATGTCTTCAGCACCTTTTCATACTCATCTGCCTCATACTTCTCATTGTTGAAGTACTGAAAGGCAGACAAAAAAGTCAGCATGTTCATTTCAGCTGCTGGATTGATATGTGGTACCAAAGTAATTGCTATCAGAACTGCAAAAACAATGCAAAGTTTCACGGCTTCTTACTTGATAACAGGTTACATATGGAAAACTTTTCTAAATCAAAGTAAGATTTAAAAACATATGGCTCACTATACTGTTTACTTTTACATTCCAGAACAGTATTCACTTAATCCAATCCAATTCAGCATGACAAATTAAACTCAATTAAATTATAACAATTTTCATAATTTTCTAATCTTAATTTCTAAGCTCTTACACCCAATTGGAAAAGGTCACCCAAAGGAAATGATTACCTGAACACTGCATTCTTGAAGCACACATTCATATAAATTTCAATGTGGCTCTTCTAGGTTTAGTATTCAGCAGAAAAAAAGTAAAACTCTAACAGTAACTTACAAATTAATTACTGGTATATTGAGTGGACTAAAATTACCTAGTATAAAATTCAATTTTATAACACTGACCTTGACAGTCTCATAGTTGATGAGGGAGTCAATAGCCTTATTTCCTGCAGAGTTTTCAGCCTGATTCATCCTGACACGGAATTTTGTCCTCCACTGAGTGATGGCCAGGGTGTACACAAAATATGTGCCAATACAACCCAGAGTCACAGCTGCAAATTCCACTCCACACTTGTAATACTGCCATGTAAAATTAATATGGGTTCATTCAATCATAATCATCTCCAAATAAATTTAAAACCAGTATTCAAAGTCAGAGAAAGGGAAAACCAGGTACAGTGATCCCATTATTTTGAAACCTTATCATTCCAGCCAGACATACCAGTATAGCACTGACAAGGCCAACTTCAAATATAGTGGGAACGACATTGAAGACAAGAGCAGACAGGACAAAATTGATCCCCCTAGAACCCCTGTCAATGGCTTTTGATAGGGCTCCAGTCTGTCGACTGAGGTGGAAAGACAGATCCAAGTTATGCAGGTGCAGGAACACATTTTTTGCTACCCTTCGGATGGAATTCTGGGCCACCTTTGCAAACACTGCATTCCGGAGCTCATTCATGCCTGCAGCTGATACCCGAGCTATCCCATCTGAAAAAGATAATACAGTGAAAGGTGACACCAAAAGCTGTTTTTCCAACAAGCAATGCTACAATATTCAGAACAAATCATTAAAATATATTTCCCTTGATTTCAGAAATCCACTGGAAGACTTACTCACAGCCAATGAGTATGGATGTAGCAACTGTGAGAACTGCAGATGGTGGGTCAATCATTCCTAACACACTGCCAGTGTGAGTGTTGAGGTAATCTACTGCATGCTTGAAGATGAAGGGAATTTGTACATTCACCACTTTGGCTGCAACCAGCAAGCCAAGAGACAGCATGACACGTTGACGGATGGCTGGTTTATCCTAAAAGAAACATTTATTTGAAGGAAGACTTGTGAACCAAGTCAAATACAAGCTAATCTAGAAATCATATCAATTCTACACTCCATAGCATGCCAGATTTGACACATGCCCATACTCAACATGTCCAATGCATAATGTGCCACATGTGAAATATATTATTTTTGTTTCATAAATAAATAAAAATACAAATACAAAATAAATAAATAGGAAAATAAATAAATAAATAAGTACAAACAAATACAACATTGCTTTGTTACCTTAGAGGAAATCATGCAGAGTAGGGTCAAAAGAGGCAGCCACTGAAAAACTGACCTTGAAGTTTTTTCATCAAAATTGTAACACAACAAAGGTAGCTTTTGAGTGGATGTGAATGAATGTCAGAAAGTGGGGCTTCATGCCATATGAAATTAGCAACTGCCATTAATATAGATATTTGCTCAGCCTATTCCCAATGAGTAACATATATGACCAAGGCCTATCTTCCCAGAATACAGACCACTTCTTTCTTTTAGATTATAGGCTATGCATATGAATCCTATAGTACCTTTGGCCAGATGTATGAGAACATGGCTTTGATCATCTGCTGAGATGTAACACTGGATACACCTTCAATACCAACAGAATCCCGAGACATGATGGAAGCACCAGGGTGAAAACAATCTCTTGATGGCACTGGCTGCTTCTGTTTTTTCCATGGTTTCAAGCTGGCAGGCCATGAAAACCAAGGCATGGGAGATTTCGTTGGATTGGGACCAGTGGATACATGCAAGACCTGGATTGCTGAAGCTGCAGCAAATCTCGTGTAAGTGTATGGAAGACCCAAAGATGTCATCCTCAATAAGGGTAAGCTTCCTGCCCTCAGCATTCTGCAATGAAGAAATCTATAAAGAGAGCAATAATGAACCATCACGACAAAGGCAGCCAGTGGAATACCATGAAATTGCATGCCACAAACATATCCCATAAGCTATGTAAGGGTTACTCTCACCTATATGCAAATATGATGTTAGATCCCATGGTTCCCGGATGAACTCAATGATGGGGCTTGCCAAGTCTTCAGATTGAGTCCAATTTTATTATCTGCTACTGAAGTTGTAGGTCTCAGCTTTTTTTCCATTATTGACAAGTAAGCATAACAATTACCATGGCCTATCATAGTGACAATTACTTACTTGACCCAACTATGACTCTTATGATGCTGTAAGTAGGGAATGCTACGTTCCTGGTGGCTGATACCCATGATGAATTAGGCCAACAGGTTTCTGAGTGTCTCCGAACGATGAATCACTATGTCATGCCTGTAATTGATCAAATGCACTTCCTATGAGTTCTCCAATGCTTTTCTGCTAGCCTAAATAGACCTATAAGAGGTTAGACCGTTTCCGACCGATGGTATGACTAGGTCTAACGTTCAGCCTCCTTATCTAAACGGTAAACCTTAATATTTGTACGCCTACGTTAACTTTGACGCAAAAGAAGCCTGAAATCCTCCAGTTTTAGGCAAGCCCATTATCTGTCATCCTTATCTCACGTGGACTGGTACGCGCGTCGCGACCTCTGCTGGATCCGGAGCAGCTTTCTGAGTGACAGGTAACCCCACGGTGCTGAGCTCGGTGGGTAGCACCAGGTAGCACCGCAGGCAGAATCATCTAGGGTTGATTTTTAAACCAACGGCTTAAATAAGCCAGAAAATCCAGTATACCCTGTAATCCTGCAATCTTGTGAAAGTATCAGAAAATACTGCATTATAAATTGTCACATTAATTTTTCCATTTTTGAACTTGCAAGGTAATGCCGATACTGAGTTCACTATTAATTATAATCATGGATTATTTTCTACCATGGTTGATAACAGCAACGTGGCATGTCAGACAAAAGGAAGCAAAGTCGAATGAGGTGGGCATGGTGGACACTTTAGTCAAAATCGCTCAACAAAACATCACCGATGAATGAAGACGTTCCTATTGAATAAGCTCAGAAGCGCAAGAAAGGGAGTCACATAGTGTACTGCAAAAATATAATAATAAACAAACAAAACAGAAGCCATACGAAACCGGAAGGGAAGGGGGTAGGTCTACTTATGGTGTTGAGCAGTACGGTACCGGAAACATGATAGATTTTTGTATTTAAAACTACTGTATATTCATGGCTTCCTCCTGCTGCAGATTTTGCATTAGGAGAAAATTTCCAGCAGATTTCCTGCATGAAAAGTTGCATAGCATTTTTACGGTTCCGCGTGCCAGGAAAAGCTTTTCTCCTAACCGATGGTGGGAGCCACAGTACAATGATCCGGGTTACTGCAAATCTTGTTTATTCACGAGGTAGGGATGTACAGGGTGTCCCAGAATTAATTGCCAAAAGTAAACGCGTACCATTCAAACATCGCTCAATGAAACTCCACAAAAATTGGTATACATATAGATCTTGACCTAGAATTTTATTGTGGAAAGTTTCAGTGTTCTCAGGTGAAGTTGAATTGATTTTTTTTTAGCAGTTTCTTGAAAATGTACGTTTTTCGAGGTCGCACTTTTTGAACCTGAAGGTAAAGCCCGCGCGCCATTCAAGCATCGTTTGACGGAACTCCACAAAAATTTGACATATGTACGGGGAATATCATCAACTTTTACTTGCCAAATAATCAAATCATTATATCAATTCTGCGTTGATTAAGAGTTCTCAATGTGCTCGCCACCATTTTCAATGATGAGATTCAGCCTCTCCCTGAAACAAAGCAAGCTTCTTTCGAAAATATCGGGAGGTAGGGATGCGCAAGCTGTTTCGATGGCTTTCTGGAGTGAGTTCAGATCCTTTCAGGGCCAAGGACACTTTCTTGCATGCAGCAGCAACTGGGATCAAACAGGAAATTGAGGAAAACCCGTGAGACTCTCGATCAATTACTGAGACAGAAACGTCATCCCCCAGACTCTTCATCGATTACTTATGGAACAACGTCCCAATGAACACAACTCTTAAATCCCAGCTGTGTTCCTGCTGAGATTAACGCGTCTAGACGAGAAAATAGCGATATGGATATAATCCGACTGTCCTCCAGCTAGGATACAGCAACATCTCATCAGCTGCCATAAAACTGGTTATATCCAGCAAGGATTCAGCTGGGAAGGAGCCGAGACAAGTCAGCTGAGGAAGCTCAGTAATGTCCCAAGTGTTTTCCTGTTGTGATTATCCAGCAATGATAAAGGCGATCAGTGCGTTTTGAATTGCAGCTGTTATTCAACAGCTTGCATACAACTGGGGCGTCTCTGTTGCGAGGCAACTGCATTCCAACTGGGGAAGACCAAGAAAGAGTTGGTCTGCGTGGGTTACGTCATGGGGCGAATTCTATTGAGTCATTCAGATAAAAAACGGCAGATGGTTTCCCGCAGTGTCTTCCGTTAGGCGCAGTGCATTCTCAACGCTGGGTAATTTTAGAACCTTCGGGAGACAAAAGGTATATTTAAGGTTAATTTATGATAAATTAAGTGGTGTATGTCGTGCTTGTGCTCACTTAATTGTTCGTTATCAGACCCAGGCAGAGGTTTGGAAAATTGGCGATCTTGCGAGTCTTACTCGCGGGAAATCTGGGTTAAAAAGGGCAGATGGAGGGAGAAGTTCTCTAGGCCACTAGATGGAGTTATGGGCCTCGCTTTTCTCATAGTACACAAAAGTACACTTCCCTCTTTCCATGAATCATCCCTCACAGGAGTATATAGAACCTCACCATATGTCTTTCCTAGTCACATTATAGCAATCAATAAAATCAGACACTTAATAATTTCATATCCCCATATTCGAGACAGAATCAAGGAGCTCATGTGATAAACAAACTCATCTTCCTTATGAGAGCCCCTTGCATGGTCGAGTTCATACGATCTACAGATGGTGTCTACTCCTGGGCAGCAACTGATATCCTCAACCCTGCTGCCGGGGCCTTGTTATGGCAGCGCGAAATTGTCTTTGTGAAGGCAATCCTTACTATTTCTGAACTGTCTCTTTGAAGACATTCTCTCACTGTTGACTGTTCTCATTCTCTCTTTTTGCTTCTAGCCTCTTCTCTCTGTTCACCAGACTCTCCCTAAATCTTCCCCCCCCTCCTCTCACCAGGCGCAGAATGTCTGGTAAGAGGAAGACTCGTAAGAATCGGTCCCCCCCCCC